TCCATGCCAAAAGCACCTTCCAAAAACAAGATGCAGACCCTTAATTTGCTCCTCTGTAATTCAACATCAAACCAAAGATTTAAGGCCAGGAGCATCACACTGGATAAAAACCGTTGATACTGGGTTGCAAAACTGCAGGCATGAAGAATTCATGCCCTTATTCTTTCAGCACCAGCCAAGCTGCCAACAACATGGGGATTTCTATATGAAAATCAACACCTCGTAGCTCAGTGCCTTGCCGTTTGCTTCCCAACTACCAGAAAATCTTTACAATCTGAAACCTCTTCAGACAACTGATCATGATAGAACTGAGGTGCTTTCATCACCTTGCTGATACTGCCCTCGGTGAGCAGGTTGTTTGCTTCCTGCCTGTAGCAGAAACAGGGGCTTGCTTTAACCTCTGCCTTCTCAGTCATGTTCCACCACTGCTCACAGAATGGTTAACAAAAGGAGATGCTAAACACACCTTGGGATAACTACGAGTGGGTCTGAGCTTACTGAAAACCAAACCCTCCCCTGTTTTTCCAGCTGTAAGTGAAAAATTGAGCTGGCTACCAGTTGGCAATAGAGAACAGCCTGAGGGTTAAACTTGGCCAATAAAGAAACTGAGAACACAGAGGCTGTACATCCAGCCCAGGAGTGATGCCAACAGAAAGCAACCTGCATCAAAAATACAGAGAAAACGACTTTGGCATCTCAAAGGGAACGACTTCTTGAACAGCACTGGAGTTTCAAAGCTTTCCTCACAAGTCTCTAGCACAGAAAGAAATCCATTAGCAGGCAGGAAAAGCTCACTGGAGCTCCCTGCTGCTGTAACCCACCAGGCAAAGCAGCTTCCAGGTGAGCCAGCTCCAAAAGCAGCTCCCGGGCAGCATCCAGGGAAAACCACCCTTGCACGGCTGTGCTCACAAATGCCCTGAGTCGCTGTCTATGGTGACAGTGACATCTTCATCCCTGGGTGCTAAAAGTCCTTTCACTTACCTGTTCTTGATTTGCAACCTTGTGCGTCTGCTGGTGCTGCAAATTCCTATACACTAGTTTGCAATAGAGCAAATTGCTTCTCTCTGTGGAGCTATAACAACCTGTGCCAGTGTCTCACCACCCTCGCAGGGACAAAGTGATGCCTAAGAGCTCATCTCAATTTCCCTTTTCAGCTTGAAGCAAGCATAGCAGTGCCCTGACTGGGGATTACTGGTAAGAGAAGGAAATCACTGCATTCGCATGTTCAAGGCCAGGTTGGACAGGGCTTGGAGCAAGCTGCTCTAATGGAAGGTGTCTGTGCCCGTGGCAGGGGTTGGAGCTGGAGGAGCTTTAAGATCCCTTCCAACACAAATCATTCTGTGATTGTATGATTCCCAGACATCAGCTCCACAGCATCTTCCATGCCTGACCCTACACTAACACACAGAGGCCCTGCCAAGGATAATATCTTGCTGTTCAAGACAACTTTAGCTCCATGTCCAGACGGAGACGCACCACACCACAGCTAAAGGGCAGGAGAAATCCTGCCACCCGCATCCGAAGGGCTGGGCATGCAGAACAAAGAAGTTAATGCAGCCAGTATCCACATCCCTCTCTCTGATGAGTCACACTTGCAGCGCATCCTCCTCCCCACATGCAATACATGGTACAGCCTCACAAGCCACCCACGTGTTTTGGTTCGTGTCTCACTATGATGGGAGCTGCTGGTGGTTCCCACTCTGCTGGGATGCGTTCAAAACCTTGATGAGTTACAGGGGTGGAAAAGAGGGTTGAGAAAAAAATCCTTAACTTGGATATATAATCCAGCAGCCTTCACACCTCAATTCTGTAACCTTTCCAAATGCATCTGTAGAGCTGGCTTAAGGTAGAGACCTCGACCCATTCAGTGGATGAGGAGCTGATGATGGTAACAGCCAGAGCTGGGGTCAACAGCTTGATGGCCAAGTGGAGGGGATGGTGAGGCCCAGGGTGCCCAGAGAAGCTGTGGCTGCCCCATCCCTGGCAGTGTTCAAGGGCAGGGTGGACACAGGGGCTTGGAGCAAGCTGCTCTAGTGGAAGGGGTCCCTGCCAATGGCAGGGGTTGGTCCTTCCAAACCAAACCAGTCTGTGATTCTGTGATTCTAACCCCAGAGGAGATCAACTATTGGCTATGTAAGACACCCATATCTATTGTCTCTCTTGCACTTCCAACAGCAGATAAAGCATTAACTTCAAGAGGGCTGGGATTGAATATTTGATGAAGTTTATGTGTAGTGCATCCCTCCGATTGTCTTTGTGCCAGAGAGCATGAACAGACTGACTGAAATCACTCTCCTCTGCATTCAGGATTAAAATAGCCACAAGAGGTGGATGTACCAGGCACATTTTCAACCAGAAAAAATACAGCAGATAGGAAAATTAACAGAGATACAGCCCTAGACAGAAATTTCCCCACTCTGCCCCGAGAGTCAGGCTCCCCGGTGAGCTATTTTAACAGCACATATTAGGGGTAAGGTTTTTAAACAAATAAAGGGTAGAAATAATATAGCTCTGACACACCCCACCCATCCCTGCCAAATGAGTTGTTAAAGCAGGGCTTGGGATGGGAACTGCCCGCTGACATCCTAGTGAATTCACTCTTCCCCACTGCTGGGTAGGGAGCAGCACAGCACCAGCGCGGGCTGACACCGAGGTGCATGCCTGGAGGCACACAGCATCCAAAAGCAGATCAACTTTGACTCCTCACTGCGGGGACTGCAGAGCTCCTCCGAAACCTGCCTGGAGGCCCTGCAACACCTCTGCAGCTCAACTCGCCTGCCCTTGGCAGCCAGGCCTGCTGCAAGCTATAGAAGGGGTTCATTCAAATGCCTGCACCCAGGCTGGGGGTGGGTGACAGGGGACAGAGGAGCAGCCACTTGGAGGAAGGATGCTTGGTCAGGTAATGCACCCGAAGACCTGAAATACCAGGAAGGAAAACTGCTGCCACAGAAGTGCCACCAATGCTGTGAGAAACCAAAGCAGCCCATAGGACAGGCAAGGACAGTGGTGTTGCTGTTCAGGCTGTAATCACTATGGGCATGGAAGAGTTTTCCATACTTCCAGAGGATTTTAATGACAATTAAATAACCTGTCATTAGCCTTAATAACATACATGTGCATTGAACTCTGCCTACAGAAGCAGTGGTGGTCAAGGTCAGTAATAACAGAGGTTGACAGGAGGAGCCAGCACAAGAGCAAAATCCCACATTTTCAAAGACAACTCTCATGACATTTTAGACTTTGATCTGATGATGATGTCTAAAACCAATCATATTTACAGGATAACAGTAAATACAACTGTTTGCTACCAGTAGAGTCTTTGAAACACAATATGTGCTGATTAGATTAACAGAGAAACTTCCATTCCAGCAGAGCTAAAGAGTAAACCTGTATTTTAGCCCTCATGGGCAGAGATGTTCACTCCATATCCCAGGTGCAGACCAGCCATCAGCATCAGGCGTTTGCAGGGCTGGAGCTCAGACTGTCAGCGCTGCCAGTACTGTCTTACTTCTCTATGAACAGCTCAGCCCTTCACTCGAAGAAGTTGCTCTGGGCTCAGATTTGATGGAAGAGCCTCAGCTGAGCAGCACTGGTGTTTGAAAAGTAAGCTTGAAAAACCCAGTGGCCATTCTCTTTCAGTGCCAGTTGCCAGACAATTGGCTGGCCTGGCTTAGATTTTCTGTTCCTCTACACTTCTATAGCTAAAAACTGCCTTAGAGCAAATCACTAAGAACCAGTAAGTATTAAATAACCAAGAGGAGTTACGTTTAGCTGAGTACTACCTCTGTAAGGCAGTAATGAATCCAAACAGCTCTGTAAGTCTGAAAGCACCGAGTGGTTTTGCAATGCTCAGCGATTTCTTACTTTAAAGGAAGTCAACGTTCTGCTTTGGCAGAGGATGGGCAGATGATGGCTCTACTGCCATGGCTTGTGTTGACCTGAGACACTCCAGCTACTTGTTGTCCCACAAACACCTTCTCTGTAGGGAGATCAAGGTCTCAGTATTCACTAATATAACTGATAGTCATGTTCCTTCACCATATACATGGACACCTTCAATAAAAAGGAGGACAAACACTTCTCCTTTGAGGACTGTACAGCAATGAACATGGGTCTGCTTGCAAAACCAGCCATACAGCACCTAAGGGCTCTGTTCTGCCTTAGCACCTACTAAGCAGAGCAGGTTTGCTGGTGCATAGCATCCTGGATGCTTTTGCTCACAGCTGAATATGTCAGCTGCTCTTTGAGATGAAATAGGCTCACACTACAAGCAGAAGCAGGTTTTGATCCTTACTGCCTTGGAAGTCCCAGCTGGGCTTAGAGCTGAGCTGGGTGTTCTCTCCTGCATACATCATTATCACACCTTTAACATGACTTCATCTCACCTGACCTCAAGCTAAACCTACAGTTACATCTCTGCTCCTCTGCTGTTCCAGAGAGGGTTGGCAGGTTCTGACCGATGGGGGAAGACCCTGCCCTGGCTCCATGGCAGCAGAAGTTGAGCCCAGCAGAGCCACGGCTCTTGGAGCCTATCAGCTGGTCCTGGGGACATGAGAGATGTTTGGCAGGCTGCTGTGAAACAGGGGTTTCCTGCAGGAAGGGACTGAGGCATGCAGGCTGAAAGCAGTGTCCTGCTCTGAACCCTGGAGCCTCATGTGCTGCACATGAGTCCTGCCTGCACGCTGCGGTGGTACGTCTCAGGCCATCACCAAGCAGAGGTGGCACATAAGATGGCACAGGAGAGTGCTGCTGGCTGAATGGCACGCAACACAAAATCCATAAGCTGATACTCCCACGGTCCTTCTCTGACCATCCCAGGCCCACAAACCCCAGTTTCAAACACTACCAGAAGTTTTTGAGAGGTGGGGACGGAGAAAGGAGCTGGCAATAGGAGCATTTAGGGTTTGTTGGCTGGAGGAAAGGGGGAGGTTGGTTTCAACATGCAGAGCTTGTGGTACACAACAGCCCTGCCACGGCAGCAAGCTCATGGAGCTACTCACAGTTGGGGAGAGCTTTCCTTCGTTCTTCTGCACGTAGATGATTGCATCCCGTACCAAGGAGAAGAGGTTCAGGAGGACGTGCTCCATGTCATAGATGCCATGCATGCCTTTGGTCAGCCCCTCCAGAGCCCTGATGTACTCTCTCCAGTGGTTATCGATCTCTATGACACCCGCCAAGCATCCTTGCATCACCATCGCACAGTAGGTGGCACAGGGCTTGGCCAGGAGCAGCCCCTGGCAGTGTGAGCAGTACCACATCTTCAGCAGGGCTCGGCCACAGTCCTTGCTGAACTTTAGGTGGTCGGTGGTGTTGATCACCTCAATCCCCAGGTTGAGAGCCTGCAGAAAGGCTCGGGTGGCCTGCAGCGACTTGGACACCTGCGTCATCATCATCTTTGGGTAGTTCCCAAAGACTTTGAGGTCCCTCCTGGCTGCCCGCAGGCATTCAGCCATCTCCACGGAGGGCTCGGGGAAGCCGGGATTCAGCAAGTGCGAGTAAACCAGAGGGAATAAACTGTCAAAGAACTCATTGATCATGTCATTGACACTGAGGTCGGAGCCCAGGATGTACAGAGAGACATCAGTAAAAAGTTCTCCGACAAACTTCAGGGCTCTGGGCCCCATGCTCTGGTAGTGGCTCCGAAACATGCTGTTGGTGAAGTTCCTTGCGTGCCGCACCACAATCTCAAAGGCTTCTGCAAAACACAACAGAAAAGGGAAGAGTTCATGAAGAGATGAGCTCGGACACAGGGATTGCTGCTGCAAAGGCTGGTCCCATCCTGCCCACTTTGGGTCACACACTGGCTGGCAGCCGTGCCTGCTGCAAACCCATCTTCAGGGGAAACCCGTGCGCTCTTTAACACCAGCTCCATTTCAAACGGCAAAACTCTCTGATCCAGTTTGCATTTCAGCTTTTAAAGGAAATATTGATCCCACAAAAGGGATAGACTGCAATTTCTTTCTCCCCCCCTTACACATCGATTTGATATTAACAGGAATCCTATCTCCAGACTTAATTTAAAACACAGATAAATGGTTGACAAAGTGACCAGTGTTTAAAATCAGGAAACAGTAAATGCTGACGTTCTGTTATGAAAAGGAAAATATTTATAGGAGTGTAATCACACCCAGGATATTTGGACTCTGGCCCAGCACCAGCCCTGCACAAAGTGTCCTCAAAGCCATTTGAAAAGCCCCTGTAGTGCTGTGGCCGTCCTGAACTCATCAGGCTCACTTCAACTGAACATTCAAAGTTACATCTGCCCCTGGGCATGTGCTGCTCCGTGGTCCAAAGTGATGCTGAGTTCCAGAGATGCAGCGTGGGTGCCCAGCTAGGACCACTCTCACACAGCAGGTTGTGCCACACTGCCCCATGGAGCTCAGGGACCGTCAGTTTGCAAGGAAAAGCCAGGCTGCATTTTCCCCTCTCCACCTTCAAAGACTTGAGAGCCTTCTGCCCATTCCTCCTGCACAGAGCAAACAGGAATGCCTCCAGCAGCAGCAGTTATTCCCTTGATTACAGCCCTCCTCACCAGGCTTCCAAAATATCATACCCATACATGCAAAACCAACATCTCAGTTGAGACATTAAAACCGTCTTATAACAGCCTTCCAGTAACTAAAGGAGCTACAGGAAACCTGGAGAGGGGCTTGGGACAAGGGATGTAGGGACAGGCCAAGGGGAATGGCTTTAACCTGCCCGAGGGGAGACTGAGATGAGCTCTTAGGCAGAAGCTCTTCCCTGTGAGGGTGCTGAGGCGCTGGCACAGGGTGCCCAGAGAAGCTGTGGCTGCCCCATCCCTGGCAGTGTTCAAGGCCAGGTTGGACACAGGGGCTTGGAGCAAGCTGCTCCAGTGGAAGGGGTCCCTGCCCGTGGCAGGGGTTGGAGCTGAAGGGGCTTTGAGGTCCCTTCAACCCAAACCAGGCTGGGACTCTGAGCATACCGACACACCCCAGTTTGGGGAAGCCACCAGTGCAAACCAAAGTCTTTCTCTCTACCAGCCTGTGTCCTCCTCTTCAGGGCACTATTCGTAACACGCTAAGAACAATGAAGAGCCTCAGAGCTGACAGGTCACTGACACCCAGCCACGTAACTGCTCAGCTGGGTCACTCCGGAAGCACACATCCAGGCTCAGCTTGCACGGGGATCATCATGGTCAATAATTCAAGGGAACGCTTGATTTTTAAACCCCTCAGTGTTATCTTTCCCATTTGTTACACTGGGGATGCAGCTGAGCATCTCCATGGGGGCTCAGTATTAACATCAGTTTGAGCAACATCAGGCCTTGCTGCTCGCCCTGCAGGACCCCTCACGTTCCTCAAGCATTTTGGAATCCATCACATCTCTAGGACTTCCAACTTTTGCTTCCTCATGCATTCTATGCAGGATGGACAGGGACTCAAGCTGTTTGCAGCCCCCACACCAGCGTGCAGAAGGCTATGGTGTAAGTGGTGAGGGAATAGAGCAGGGTACCAAGAGAAGTGGTAAATGCTCCATCCCTGGCAGCGTTCAAGGCTAGGTTGGACAGAGCCTTGGACAACAGGGTCTAGTGTGAGGCATCCCTTCCCCAGGCAAGGGGTTAGAACTGGATTATTAAGGTCCTTTCCAACCTAAACCATTCCATGATTCTATGAAGCAGGCATCAAAGCACAGCTATACTTTTGCCAACAGTCTCCATCCCATCTGGTGCCTGTAACCTCCCAGGCGTGCCGCTGAAGCATTTTGTCCACAGCACCCAGCACCCAACACCCACACCAGGACTGGCCCAGAGCAACCATCTGCATCCCCAGATGGAGCAGTCCTTCCCACCAGCACAGACTGAGGGATGCAGCAGAGCAAGGACAGAGCCCTCCCTCCACGCCTGCCTGAGCAGCACAGCAGACACCTCACTCCTCGCTCCCTACAGAGCCCTGCAGATCCCTCCATCAGTGTCTGACACACACGAGGGCGATGCGCAGCACAGTTCTGGCTGCGCTGCTATTAAAAGTTTGAAACCAACAAAAAAGCCTCTTTAAATAGGGCACATGGATAACGAAACTTTTCCCTCCTTCATCCTCAAGAGCCCCAGAACAGCTTCCACCTCAAAGCACGCAAAGAACTTTTTGGACCAGTGTTTTGCTGCCAGCCCTGCAGCCGGTGCCAGAATTGTCATGCTGTGCTTCACTGTCGCCTTTAACCTCCTCTCTCTTAGTTCCCTTAGAAAATGTCATCCCTCTTCCCTTCCCTCGCTCCTCTGTGCTCTGCAAGCCCCCCTCAGAGCCAAGAGGCTCTTTGCTGATTAGAAAACCAGTCCAAGCCCCTGTGTAAACCTCCTACAGCGAGGAGCGCTTCAGAAAGGAGCTGAGAACAGTGGCGTAGCCCAGGAGCGTGCACGCAGAGTCCCACTGCTTCAGAGGTCACGGCATGCACATCATTTTTATCATCGTAACTGGCTAAGTGTGTCTATTTTATGTGCCTTGGAGCTTTGGCATATACCCATTAGAGAGTGCAACAGACACCATAAAAGCGCATGAAGCCTCCTGCTGTCCTATTAATACATGCAAGAAATAATAAAACTCGGGCAATAAAAGGAGAATCTTGTACATCCAGACCCTCTCGCACCCATCTGCCCCATGGCTGCTGCGTCTGAAATACTCCCTGCAAAGGGCTGGCTGCAAGAACATTCAAGCCCCAGCAGCAGAAGTGACCCATGGCCAGACTCTGAGCGCCTCAAAGAGGAGGGAACTGTGTGGGTCTGTCCTCTGTGCTCCCAGGAGTGAGTCTTGTGTGGAGATGGAGGGAACACCTTGCTACAAAGCACCACGGGCTTCTGATCCCCCACCACATCCCGCAGCCTGGATCTGCTGCCGGTAAATCCTGCCCTTCTCCTTACATGACACTACTGAAACTCCTGTTTCTGGAGGACAATTGAAGCCTTTCTTTGTTCTATTATTAATTTCTTCTTTTCATTTCAAGGATCATTTCAAAAGCTGCAATTTAAGAGCATCTGGTTCTCAGGTCTGACTGAAGCACAGTAAATACCTTCATAGCACTGATAAAAGAGATCATCCAGTGGATGATCAAAGCTCCTCCAGCTCCAACCCCTGCCACAGGCAGGGACCCCTTCCACTAGAGCAGCTTGCTCCAAGCCCCTGTGTCCAACCTGCCCTTGAACACTGCCAGGGATGGGGCAGCCACAGCTTCTCTGGGCACCCTGTGCCAGCGCCTCAGCACCCTCACAGGGAAGAGCTTCTGCCTAAAAGCTCATCTCAGACTCCCCTGTTTCATCTGGAAGCAGGCAGAGCAGTGCCCTGAGTGGGGATTAGAGGCAGGAAAAGGAAATCACTGCATTCAAGTGAAGTGTTCAAAGCCAGGTTGGACACAGGGGCTTGGAGCAAGCTGCTCTAGTGGAAGGTGTCCCTGCCCGTGGCAGGGTTTGGAGCTGGAGGAGCTTTAAGCTCCCTTCCAACACAAACCAGTCTTTTCTTTTTGCCCCTTTGCAAAAGATTGTTTTCTAAAGCCAGGCAGTTATCTCCCCACATTTAAAGCCTTATCTTGACCACATAAAGATAAGCTTTTAAAGTGGAGGAACTACAACTTGCTTGTTATTCCATTAGTAAAGACAAGGCTCAGTTTTATCTTTTGGATGCCAGCCAGGCAAGTCATCATAGACAAGTCCACAGCATCACCACGGTGTTGCTACCTCCCTATAAAAGCTTCAAGGCCATCTCCTCCAGGACCTTATGGCAGAGTGGCAAACGCTCCTGAACTATCCCAAACTGTAAAACAAGCAAGGTGATTTCCATGCAGCAGCTCTCCCTTGAGCTCAGCATGGATCCCTGGCCTCCAGCTGAATCCCACCCTCTGCACATGATGCATTTTGTGATTCACTGCACCCTTCCCTGGATGCTGCTGCTCCGATGTGCCCCGGGCTGCAACATTATACACAGCACTGCCCTGTGCTGCACTTGGGACCAGTTTCAAACCTCAGGAGCTCTACACAACAAAACACCCTTTAAATGCCTTTTAGGTGTGAATGTGCCTCTTCTGCCTCAATAAATCTCATCCATGGATGCAACTGCTCCAGGGCAGCAAGTGAAGCAGCTCCTGGAGCTCAGTGGATTTGCTGCAGTCCCTCTCCTTGTGTCCCTGGTCTGCTCCCTGGACTTCTTCCCTTGAGGGTCCCTACTCACAGGACCTGGCATCAAACACTGTGCAAGGCATAGCAATAACCACAGGAGCTGGAGAGCCTCTGGCCCGGTCAGATCTCTCCTGTGAACAATTCCTGCTCTCTGGCACTTCCCTGCCGATGGCAAAACCTCCTGCAATGACCTATTGATGCAAATCCCTCTCCCTTCACTCCTTAGGACACAAATCACATCAGCAAAGAATCAGGCACTGGAATTCCTCAGCCCATGGGAATCATTTCCATCCTGAGGTAACAACATGGGTCTGCAGGCAGGGCAGTGGGTGAATTCCTCAGTTAATCTGGTCCTAACGCAGCTGCTGCATCCCCTTCAGGCTTTCTGTATCTGTACAAGTGCCACTCAAACCATGCTCAGCCCCTCAGAAAAGAACCCACCAGTGTTCCCAGATGGGAATTCAAACGGTCCTCAAGGAAATGCTACAAGGTTGGGGTTCTGTAAAAAGCCTTTTCTGACACTGCAATAGCTGCAGCACCGCTTGGAGCCAGCTGAGGAGCCACCAGCATCCACC